ATTAAAAATTTGATTTTAATTACCGTCAAATAAGGATTATATATCATTATCCATGACTAAACATAACTTATTTTAGATATTTAAGCATCGATTCAAGTTCGGAAACAAAATACAGCTCAACAAACTTGTATATGTGAGGTTTACAGGATAATTTTATATAAATTTAAATGTTTCATATTGAGAATATTGTGTAACTAACTATTAATTTTCTACTTAAAAGGTTAGATATTAAGTTATTACTCAAATAATGAGTTGGAGAGTAGAAGCGAAATTTTTTTCCTTCTTTTGGCTCTACCGTATTTATGGGTGAAAGAATCGTCATCTACGGTAATGATTTTCCCTTTTATAAATTGTCAGGAATTTAATGGCTAAGATTGCACTAAAATTAAGTGCACTGGGTGGTAACTGGTAACAAATTTGGCATAAATGGAGAAATTTCAAGATTTTCTAACTGTACCAAAGAATAAGCAAAATTGAGTTATTCCTAATAAATTCAAAAGTAATTTTATAAATTCACTTTTCATCTTATTGTGAAAAATTAAGGAAAATCGAGTCTTCTAACACAAACATGATTTGAATAATTGATTATTGTAAACATTTTATTTTTGCTTATAATTTAAAATAAGATGTCGCTATATATTAATTATTGCAACTTTGACATTATAAATACTTTTTTCAGTATTTGGATTTTTCTTGCATTTTGCTTGCACGAATAGTTGTAGTTCATGAGTCAAGGGTAAGTATATTATCATTTTCATTTTTACTATATTGAATGTGTGTAGTTCACTTGACCATGTGTAGTACGTATCTAAAATGAGAAAAAGAAAATGAGAAACAAAAATTGGCTCTATATATAATTTTATATCTAGTACTATTAACTTTCATTGACTTTTTTTCGTAAATTATTTTTTTTCAAGTTGACGATTGGACCTATAAAAAATAATTTATTTTCGTGGTTATTAACCGAATCGAACCGAACCGAACCGCACCAAACCAAGATATAAACCGAACCAAACCGAACCGACTTTCGTGGTTATGGTGCGGTTATGGTATGGCCAAAAAATTGGTGGTGCGGTTATAGTTTTGGTCGAACCGACACCGAACCGAACCGTTGCCATCCCTAAAGGCTATGTGGCCTAGTTTAACTTGGGTCAGGGTCAGTGCCATGGCCGACCTACTTTTGGGAGTGGAGGGTGGGTGGATGGGGTGTGAGTTTAGGGAAGAAGAAGATGGATTTTTTTATTTTTGATTTAATTATTTTATATAGCCCCTATTTTTTATAACCAGTATTTCAACTCTTCTTTCTATATATTCATTTTCAATTATATATTCACATAATAAAATATTTTGCATGTAAATCTAAAATTCTCCCTACTTTTTAATCACACATTTCCAAAAATTCACTATTCAAAATATTGTTTTTTCCCTAATAATTTCCATCAAACAGAACAGGGCATACAATTATATAAAGTTATCATTTTACCTTTTTAAAATTGGTCAAATTTTTGGTTAGATTGTTGGCTTTTGGTCAACTGGCGATTAAATATACGAATTCCATCTGTGTCCTACTGCTGCAATCGATGTGAAATGTTTGAGTTAGGGGTGAATACGATTCAGTTTAGGCGATTTGCGCCATATTTTCAACTCAAATCATTTCATATGATTTGAAATTTTTGTTAGACCAAACCAAACTATATTATTTTATTTTTCAAACCAAACCAAATCAAACAATGATTTGCCGTTTGATTCAATTTTAATCTGCGATTTACCTATCAATTTCATAGTAATATATTTAAAATAAGTTAACATACAAATTTAAACGAGAACTAATTATGTTAAATTGCATTTATATTTGTTTGAAATTCGAAATACAAACAAAAAGGCAAAAAAAATGGTAGTAAAAGGAAGACAACGGCTTAGGAACTGTATGAATTCACACGAGAATTTCTTCCTCACCATTATTCAATGTGTAAAATCCCCATCAGATCGACGTATACAAATCCGCTTATGACTATATATTCATCTACAACCCCATTTAGTCATTCTAATTAGTAATTGACCCTTAATTTAGGAATGGAACATTATTATATGGTCAATCACCTGTTGTACACTATATATGTACGAACTAATATAAATTCATTAATCTGGATATTTAAATCTAAATGCTATCCTCAAAGGAGTTCAAAATTCATTCTTTCATCCGTTTTCTTGATTATCTCCATCATAAAATTAAGAATTTAGTCCCAAAGATTCACCTGTGGGGCAAGCAAATGCAGCAGTTAAAAGATCAAAAGAATGCAAATATGAAGGAGTATTTTTCTGGAATTAATGCCTTCAACAATAATTCATATCCAAAATCAACGTCAGTTTTGCTTACTATTCAGCTTTTAAATTTGTCATTGCATATTTTCACTTAAGAGTTATTCCAGTAGGTTGAGATTGTATTTGCCTTTTCTTGTTCCTTTTGTGATCGCACCACCAGCACAAGAAATAACACAGTTTAAGCCAAGGAAATAATATAGTGAAATGATACTGTTTAAAAAAAGGTTCGGTTCAATTTTGTGTGATTTTTTAAAATCAAAACCTAAACCATACCATTTTGAAACGATTTGATTTAGTTTGGGAGGAAAAAATCGTAGGTCCACGTGAACTCAAACCAATGGGTTAGGTTCGGTTTGTGGTTTCATGATTTAATTTGTACAGCCCTAGTTTGCGGTTTCTCCCTTTGATTTGAGTGGTTCCTTTGGAAATTAATGATGTTGATATATTATTTGAATTAAGCTATATTGTTGGGATTTAATGACTTCATTCAATCAGCAGAATTACAAAGAAGAAAATGCACCAGCAATTGCAAGAAAATTGACAGCAGAAACAGGTGAAAATAACCAGCAAAGGAGTAATATAAACCAACAAGAAAAAAAGAATATAAACAGGAAGAAATCCTCTTCCAACACTTTATTGCCAAAGCTAAAATGTGATTTACACACTTGAAATCATACAAGAAAGAATTTTTCCCAGATTTATAAGAATTCTACCATTCTTATACAATCTCACTTTCTATCCCTCTTTCACTCTTGAAAGCCTTTTACCAGAGTTTCTCTTCTACCAGAGCACCCCTTTCTGTCTCGAGCTCCCTTCATTCATACATTTTCGAGCTCTCTCTCTTACACTACCTAAGGCTCCTATTTATAGGCCTAAAGGAGGCTCCATTTCGGTTATTAACTACCAACAACAAAGGCTCCAAGTTGTTGAAGATTCCACCAGAAAAACTGTAACTGAGGCTCCTCTTTGCAACTGATTGTATTCCTTAGCTTTTGCAATAACTAAGGAATCTTCAAGGAATCACTTTCCTTACATATATGTATATTATTGTTTACATCATTCTTGATATTTTTCATGTGTCAAAATTTGGACAGTGATATGATAGGGTGTTGTAGAAATCAATGACTTTAATAGATACCATATGGAAGAGTTTCAAACTTAATATAAAGAATAACGTACATATAACATAATTGATTTTATTTATGGTACGGCATATACCCTAATAAATTCGAACCATGCTATATGTATATAAATGTTGATACATTAATTTACACACATGTGAGTTAGCAGATTTTGGTACATTGATCTTGACAACGCTTTTTTCAATTAATTATCAATTTTTTTTATACATAGAAGTGTGTCAATCAAAGTATACACTTTGTGTGTATAATTAGTTTAATCCTAAAAAATAACTCCTTCATTACCCAATATATTTGGTTATGTGAGGACCATTGTAATACAAGGATGGCTCATCAAATTAACCTTAAAAGGCGCAAAATTATGTCACATTATTCGCCCTTGGCCTGAATTTTTAGATGTTTAAGTGCATGTTTGATAAATTGGGTTAGACGTCACTTAATAGTGTTATTCCACTCAATATAATGCATAAACTTTTTAAATTGATCGAATTTAGTTAACAGTCAGATATTGAGAGTGTTATTTCAGTTGGATGGGTCACAGGAAGCAAATAATTAAAATGCGACCATTTTACCATGAATGAATTCATTATTGGTCGTATTATTGATCAGAAAATGTGGTCCATTGTCACAAAGAAATGGTACACGCAACTTTTTGAATTCATTTAATCTTTTGTACTTGAAAACACAAGACGTGCTAGGATGCACTAGTTTGGATGGGGAATACATCACATGAACAGAGGGATATGTATAAGATATGCATGATATATTGAACTACACAAGATTAAAGAATAGAATTATAATATTTGAATACACTTTGGTTTACCCGACCCCACCTCCTACCTCACATGGGGGTCGGCTCCCACATCCAATAAATGCGTGGCACATGACCCTCATGTGTGGGAAGGGGTGGGGTCGGGTAAACCAAATGGTACACGTAACAAGATTCTAAAGAATATACATTCTTTGATTAATGTCTGTGTTGGACTGGACAGGAAACAGGTACCACCAGGGCTTGTGTTGGATTGGCTCTAGAAAATAACATGATTTTGGAGAACAAGTGAAGATTATGAAGGCATGACATGATTCATCTTTCCTTTGCCCTTTTTCTTCTTCTATTAAATTAGTACAAAAATATCATGCACCGACTTTCGTGGTGTCTCTGTTGTCTTATATATTTATTATTGTAGCTTTTGTTTATTGTTGAATTAGTTATATACAAAGGGTCCATTTGGCAGAATTTTTGCTTCTGTAGAAAATTTTTCTGAAGATGTTTCTTTATAAACTTAGCTTCTACGTATAATTATTGGTATCAAAACAACACGTTACAAGCATTTTTCAGCACAAAGTACCTATTTTAACAATCTAACTTTGTAAGCCACAATTAAGTGACAAAAATAACAATGTCTTGAATAAATTACAAAAAAAAAGCGAAAAACACATAACAGCATCGTTCAGAAACAATAACTCGAATATACTATCAATAAGGCATTATAACATATCAGATTCTATGTAAAACGCAGAAGTCGACAATCAATTATTTCAATCCTCAGCTTCCTGGTATTTCTGGAGGATCTGGGGGCAGCTAGCCAAAGGCACATTCTGGGAGAATCCCATAGCATTGGCAAAACGAGTGTCTGAAACCATACCATTGTTGCGGGTGAGGATGACTCTGGCTTTGTCCCTGCCTGAGTTAGGATTGCTGCATTCTGGATCTGAACTCTTGACCAAAACTGCATCACATGCATCATCTCCACGGTCGCTCTGTACCAGGATATTGTAAGTTCCAGTTGAGTCGGTCACACCCTCAACCTCATATGTAACTCGTGAAGTGTCCCTGTCTTTGCACACAATTTTAACAAGAGAACCTGGCAAGTACAGGCATCATACCATAATCATGATAAGAATTATGTATACAGTAGGAGAGGATAAAAAACCGCAGGACCATACTCCACTATCAATCAATAATTGCAATACAAAGATTCAACTAGCAGAAATTAGGACAGCAATAGAAACAACCTCAAGAAGAAATTTTTTGGCAAACAACACAACTTTATCGAGAAAATAGGAAACATCTCACCAAATCAAGACATTGTTAGTAAGAACAGTACTCACAACAGAGCTTGGATCTTCATCTACACCGAACAGATTGAAGAACAATGTGTCCCAACCTACTGTCCAAACTTAAAACTCAGTAGCACCAGGGATTGCAAAGATATTGCAGTTTATTGAAAGCAGCATAGTAGCCTCTATTTTTGTAATTTTTCGGTCTTCCTACTAATTTTTTTTCTTTGACCTCCAATCCTACCACCCAAAAGATGGAGAGAAGGCTCTCGAGTCAATAGCCAAGATAAATGACTAGAACATCCCTTTATAACTTTTAAAAGTAACAAAAAGCCTATTCTTCGTAAAGGCAAAAAAAAAAAATGAATGAGGTCTTGAGAGCATGTTCAGCCTTGCTTAAAAGCCAAGTGAAAACAGCTTCTCACCATCTTTTTTCAAAAAATTTGACTCTTCATACTACCAAAAAAAACCATTATTCTGGCTTTTAAGCCAAGCCAAACATACTCTTGGTCAACCACATGGAAGACCTTACCAAAATCAGCCAAGATCAAGGCACTTAAGTGATTTTTCGCAAGGTTGGATAGATATGATGATGGTTTTGTTATGCTTAAGTGATTTTTCGCAAGTTACAATTTTGATAATTAGAAAATAAGAATAAATTAACACTAGAACAACAGAAATACCTTTAAAAAGTAAACTAAAGTTATAAATTTAAAATAAATTAATTGTTGAGAAATAAATAGTAAGAAATTATAGAAAATATTATTTATTTGATATAACCATTGGAGATGTTCCAAGAAATTGGTGAGAAAATTGCACCAATTTTGTTGTAAAAATTATATGAAATTTGGTATGCCATTGGAATGAATTTTTACATTAAATTGGTGGTTTTGCACCAATTTGATGTATCATTGGAGATGCTATAAGACCATCTCCAATGGTAAACCAAATTTGATGTTGTAAAAATCAATCCAATGGTACGCCATATTTGGTGTAATGAAATTTGATATAACACTATTCATTTACACCAAATTTGGTATAATTCATTATTCTCCATTTTCTAATACAACAAATTGTTGTTCCTTTTATATCCTTTTAGAATTAATTGATTAGAATTTATTTATGCCCGTCTAAGAACCATTTTTACAAGGAGAAATGCTACACGTACTTAAGGGTGCACACCCGATTTTACACCCCCTCATATGAAGGGAGCCCGCGCACAATAAATCATAATTTATTGTGCGCAGGACCCCTCCATATGAGGTAGGTGTACAATCCGGAGTGTACAAGTATCATTTTCCTTTTACAAGATTTTAATCAATTTTCTGACCGTTGCCAATGCAAAATGGGACCATTGCTGCCTTTCTTTGACTTCCTTCTCAATAAATTCTCACCTAAAAAGGTACAAAATGGGCCCATGGTTGCCAACGGTAAAAAAATTGCTTAAAATCTTGATTAAAAATGTTGCCACACAGGCGCTATACTTGTTTCAATGTTATTATTATTTTTATTTAACATTAATTTTTAAATTATAATCAAGTTATAAATTTGATAATTAGAAATTAAGAATAAATTTGCACTTCTTTTCAATATAATAATTCTGATATGGAAAATCATAGACAAACTACTTCTAGACTCTTAAATCTAATTAAGAGAGATGTTTATGGTCAACCTGTATTTAAGCAAGCAAATGGTGACTTTGGATGTTTATCTGCTGTAGTGGATCGCCATAGAATGGCAATATCTTAAAAACTATTCATTTGGTTTAAAATTTTTGAAATAACCCAGATCGTCAAATATGTACAGTCGACTTCAAGATCCAGGAAGTGATTCTGTGCATCCGAATATTAACTCATTGGTGCCAAGATCTTTCCACTTTCTTGTTGGATTTGCATAGTAACAGTAATAATACGCAACGATGTTGTTGTATGGCATTAGTTTCTATTTCCACTCAGTTTGTTTGGCATTTTAAGGAGAATTTTGACCGTTGCTTAGGGGTATCAGCCGCAATTTTTGACCACTTTGTCTCAGATGGAACCCACATTTTTTAAAAAAAGGGTTCAAAAATTTATTTTGATGTTAAAATAATGTGAAACAAAAAGGGGCTTCACATTATTTTGCACATGAAAATGAAATTTTTGACCCTTTTTTTCAAAAAAGTGGGTCACATTATGAGACAAGTTAGTCAAAGATTGCGACTGATCCATTTTCCAATGGTAAAAATTCTTCTAATAATGTGAAACAAACAGGGGTTTAGACTAAATCTGCGGTTTATAGTCGACTAATTAAGTTAACACGAGAAGAGAGAATAGTGTTTTCCTCCCAACAAACATAAGCATTTCAAGAACTACCCAGCCCCCGTGGTTACTTCTTCTACCTCAATTTTAATTAAAGTTACAGCAAATTTTCCTCAAAACCGTACAAGATTATATTTTAATAGATCCAATGAAAATTTCTTTAACAAACTAACTAGATCAACACCACATTGACTGGATCTGACCAACTACACACAAGAAAGCTAGATATAAAAAATACTTCAAGCATAATTCAAAAATTAGTTCTTGTGCGCGTGTGATAGAGAGAGAGTTGGTGTGGTTACCAGGGAGGTACTTGGAGGCAGTGGTCTCAAAGCCGCAGCGGCAAGTGTCACAGTATACTTTACCCGTTACAAGAAATGGGTTGCCCGCAAAGCGAGCAGTAGCAATTGCTGGGAGCACACAGAGAGCAAACAACAGTAGCAATTTAGCCATTTTTTTCCTTGTTTTATGTAGAATGTGTTATGAAATTTGGGCTCCAAGAACTGGAGAAGAGGGAAAGGGAAAGTGGTATAAATGAAGCCTTAAGCGTCGGTGGAGCAGCGTGTCCGTATATAGGGGGTGTGGATGGGCTGGCACACGGCAAAGAGTCACATGGGGTGGGTGGCATCATGGAGTAGAATAAAGTAAAGTAAAACCGCGTCTTGCGGCAATCTCCTTCATTAATTTCGGTCGGTGGGATCCATCTGTTTCTCCTTCCTTACGCGGAGATCTGTGCATTTGGAATTAGCAAGAGTTAACTAAAAATAAAATCAAATTTATTTTTGGAAATCTATCCATAAACATTTTTTTTATATAATCGTGGGTGTTCGAACTAATTTGTGTGCATCTCGACTAATCTCACGAACCTTGGGGTTTACGATCGAATACTCACATTAATTGCCCTAAAGGGATTCGAACGGTGACTAGTAATCTATCTGTAAACTTAACAACCAAAACTCAAAACACAATTGGCTTTGTAAAATTTATAAATTATTTATAAATAATCAAAATTCATTTTAGTCACATATTCTAATAAATTTATTAGTACTATACGTTTATCTATCATTTATTTTTATATTTATTTATATAAATTCTTTTCAAATGAAGGTTAAGTAATTAATATCAAATTTTCAAGAGTGAGATTTAATTATTATATTTTTAATGTAAAGTAGCACCTTTCAAATAATTCATATAGGTCAAAACATACGAACGAAAAAAGTGGTGTCCAATCTATTCAATAGAAAAAAAAAATTTGATGTGAAAAATCAAATGAGACCAGTTCATGAGCCATTCTATTTCCTAAGAGGGAACAAAATGTGAGGTTAGACATGGTTCGATTCGATTCGATTCTCTACAGAATCGAATCGATTCAAAATTTTCGGGTATTTAATAAATGGAATCGTCGGGTCCAAATATAATTATAGAATCGTTCAGATTCGATTCCGTTCGATTCGATTTCGTACCATAATTAAATTTTTTAATATTTACAACAACACCACATAAATATAACTAATAACATGTTCATTCGTAACTATTACAAATTAACGTAACTCAATTTAAAAACATATAAATAACAAATTGTCCAATAAAATTAATTCAATGTATACAAATATCCAAAAGTAGAAAATTATTTTAATTTGTTAATTTATTTAGAAAAAATTAAAATTATTTAATTAATGTAACATAAAAAATTATTTAAGTTCGGTTCTTCGGTTCTTGGCCTAGAACCGAGAACCGAACCAAATCCATCGATTCTCGATTCAAATATCCGTTCGGGTATTTAATTTATGAAGAACCGCTCGATTCGATTCGGGACTTTTGTCCAGCCCTAACAAAATGACACAAAGCATTGCTAACATATTGCACTAGTTCACAAATATCACGAAGAAACCGTCGTATTTGACATAAATCGAAAGTATGTCCTCAATTGTCGATATGCCAACTGAGGCACTCTCAATAAGCTTCACATTCTATCCTCTTTACGTATAAAAAAACAACTCATCACTCAAAGCCTCCCGTTCAATGTCCGCCACTGAAGTTCAAATCTTCCTCTTTTTCCTTGTTTAACAAGCTAAATTTAGATTAATGACTTGTAATGATGCTTTTCATTTTTAATAATTAACTGGACCCGACAAATCTTCAATTATTTCTTTCCCCCTAAGTTCCCGCCTTAAAGCTCGCGGCGTAGGGAATTCGATTACACATTCCTTTCTTCTTTAATTATTTTATAATTAAACTAGAACTTTACTTTTGTTACCCTTTAATTTTAGGATCATCCTACAACTACAAGTACATAATCATTTACATAATACATTATATAATTGACATGTGGCGAGCATCTATCGATAGTCTACAATTTTTTACTTTTCCACACTTCATATCCACGGCCGGATTTCTTCCACATTAACATATGTAATCTATTATGTACAATAATTATGTACATATAGATTTATCCTTAATTTTAATGCTATAAAACATTACATAGTTAAAGATCTCGTAGTAAATTTTAATGATAATTATAACAACATTATTAAAAATATATAAGCCCATGTTTGATTTTGTTCAAAAATAGATTTTGATAAAATTTCTGAAATTTGTAGTTAAAAATTTTATAAAAGTCGTGAATTTATGAAATGTATGGTTGAAAATAAATTTGAAAAAAAAAAAAATTTAAGCAATTGGATCAAACTAGGGCTTATATTAGTTCATGTTGAACAGTAAAATATGTAATTTTTTAATTTTTTTCCTCTCAATTAATAAATGAGAAAAATATGGGGTGGGGGGAAGAAAAGTTAAAGGGCATGTTATCTTTGTTGTTTTCAAGTCACTTTCAGTTTTCAGTTTTCGAAAATAAAACACGTTTACTTGTCTATTTTCATAAACAAATTTTCAAAAACGAGTTTAAAATTTAAAAAGAAAGCGGAAAAAGCTAGAAAAACGTTTTGGTTGTTTTCAGTTAAAATCAAGTAAAAAAAATATTTTTTTTTGAAAATAATTTTTCAAAATTACAAAAAGAACGCGTTTTCAACAATTTTAAAATGGACACTCGAAACACAAAATTCAAAATGAATTCAAAATTCAAAACTAAAAACTGAAACAAGAAGATAACAACACATAATTTATTGGTTAATTTCACAAACGGTCAGTGAACTTACGCAAAAATAGCAAAACGGTCACTGAAGTTCAAAACTTGTAAAAACGGTCACTAAAGTTTCATACACTTTCAAAAACGGTCACTGAAATTTAAGTTTCTTTCACAAACGGTCACTGGAGGACCGTTATGACTTTAGTTCAAACATAAAGGACCAAGTGAGATAACCCAGATTTTGGACAGTTTTGAGGTGCCAACTTTGGACCACCATAACTCCGTCCTCCGACCACCCTTTGCCACGAACCAATATACCAAATTGAAGCCCTCAATGCCCTCTTAACAACCCACCCAACCACTGGCCTTTATCCCGTCGTAATTGGCCGAAAAATCAAGCCAAAGTGAGCTACCCGGATTTTGGACAGCTTGGAGGTGCCAACTTTGGACCACCATAACTCCGTCCTCCGGCCACCTTTTTCCACGGACCAATATACCATATTGAAGCCCTCAATTCCCTCTTTAAAACCCATCCAATCACTGGCTGTTATTCCTTCGAAATTGTCCGAAAAACGCCCCAAAGTGGGCTACCCACGCGCTTGCTGTCTAAAATCCGGCTGTGAGTGGGTAGCTCGCTTTAGATCCTTTTTCCGGCCAATTCCGATGGGATAACGGCCATTGGTTGGGTGGGATTTGAAGAGGGAATTTAGGGCTTCAATTTGGTATATTGATCCGTGGAAAAAGGTGGCCGGAGGATGGAGTTATGGTGGTCCAAAGTTGGCACCTCCAAACTGTCCAAAATCCGGGTAGCTCACTTTGACTCTATTTTTCGGCCAATTCCGAAGGGATAACGGCAAGTGGTTGGGTGGGTTGTTAAGAGGGCATTGAGGGCTTTAATTTGGTATATTGGTTCGTGGCAAAAGGTGGCCGGAGGACGGAGTTATGGTGGTCCAAAGTTGGCACATCAAAACTGTCCAAAATTCGGGTTAGCTCACTTTGGTCCTTTATGTTTGAATTAAAGGCAAAACGGTCCTCCAGTGACCGTTTGTGAAAGTGCATGAAACTTCAGTTACCGTTTCTGCAAGTTTTGAATTTCAATGACCGTTTTGTTATTTTTGCGTAAGTTCAGTGACCGTTTGTGAAATTAACCCCATAATTTATTGGCCGGAGGAAAATTTTAATATTTACTAATACATCAACTTTAATTTGTGCATGTGCAAAACCTAACTTGGTGGACGAGAAATCGCCAAATGGGGGCAAAATTTAAGACCAACCCAGGCAAGATCCAAGAGCAGCGAATCACGGGGAATTCACTTTTTGCAACTAATGATGCTTTATAATTAATCAACAAGAAATTTTTCAGATTAGTCATCGTTTATGTTTAAAATGAAAAAATAATTTTTTTTAATGTTTTTCATATTTTAATGGATTAAATATACAATTTAACCTTATTAAGAATAATCATAAATTTCTATTAATTTCTTAACATATAAAGGATATGTTCAAACTCGACTAGCCAGACTCAATGGACGATCATAAATGATGACTATTAGAAAGTGGAATGCATGAATGATAGCTCAACAAAGATATTTTGTATATTTTTATACGTCAATCATGTCATATGTATGAGGGTGGATGGTTGAATAAGTAGCGTTAGTTAAGGTCAAGTTTCATAGTCACCGTCCTTCATCGTGAAGACATGGAACTCGACACAACCTCCGTGACTTATTTAGGTGTCATAGAGATCGTCACATGGAGCGTATTAAATTTAAAAATAAACACAAGAATAATTGGACATTGAAGACGAAGAAGATACAATAGAGCTCCATATTTTCCCATCGTTTGAACAAAGAGTTCATAGAAGAAGAAAGACAAATCATGAAATTAAATGAAAAAAGATGTTTTAATATCATAAACATTTTTAAAAATGCAACTCTGCAGATTTTAAATTGAATAGATGAATTTGTTTCTTTTTACAAGAAAAACTTTTGGAGCATATAAGAATAGGATATTAAAAGTTGTCACAAGTATATTAATAATAGGGTTTACATTTAAATTACCAAAATAAAAAGCTTTACTATTATCAAACACGCGAAACCTTTCTATGTGCATTGTTCGTGACACCTTAAATTCAAGACCTAAGTCACCCGCTTAAAGTTCGTTATTTATTTTTGAGCTCGTGAGAGGAAATAAAGGTATTATTTATTTATATTTTTGTGGCTAACGTGATGTATGTGAAGAAAAAGGTCTTTTGGACTGTAAAGGATGGTTGCACGGGTCGAAATAGTGAAAATTAACCCACAAACTTTTTTTGAAAATCCTTAAAAATAGTGGTTTAGGGTTAATAAAAGTACGCACGAGTAATAGAAGTTCAAAAGGATCAAAATGAGTTTTCTATAAAGATTAGGACAAGGAAGTGCAACACTAGATCTATTCGGGTCTGAATAAAACTATTTGTACAATATTCCTTAACAACTTTATTGATAATCTACGTGTTATCAAGATCTGTTTTGTTAATTTAAGAAATAGTTTATAAAATGAATGATGTAGGTTCCCACCAACTCATGATTGGCAATCATGATTACACATGTACCGTGGTTATTTGGGTCTATGGGTGGCCGGGTTCCATACAAAAGAGCCTTGGACGTTTTCAACATTTAGGTTTCGTTTGATAGGTAGAAGTGGGAAGGAATTCTTATTTCATATTAGTTGGAAAATAAAAATTCACCAAACTTATAAGAATTCGTTTTAGATGAAAACAAAGAAAATGTAGCTTCAAATTGTTGTACCTTAGAATTCGGTTTCTATTTCCACGTTGCAATCAAACGGTCAAAGTAGAATCCGTTTTCCTTTAATGTGATATTTTTCATAGTAAAGTTTGCAATCAAACAAACAGGGTATTAGAGAGAGAAAAAAAACTGTTTCTTGTTTGATTCTAGTCAATAAATTATTGTCCTCTTGCAATCGAATTGGTTTTTCTTGGTGCCCATTCGCTCCACTTACACACGCTGTCATAACTTGGAAGAATACAAAAGAAGACTGAGAGGATTTGAAGCTAAGAGAACCAGAAAGTTTATAGACCAAAAAATTGTGATTTAAAGCTTGTAACAGTTCGAATCGTGCTTTGGAATTTAGAATTAGTCACACTTCGAGTGTAGTTCTGCTATCCATATTCGATTAACTAAACCATAAATCCAATAATTAAAAAAATCTTGGGACCGAGATTCCAGAATTAAATTTTTTGAGATTTGCTTATTCTTGAACTTATTTCCCAACACTGTCACACATAGCAATTTGATTCAATATGCCTTTTTTTTTTTTTTTTATAAACATCACACATAGCAATTTGATTCAATATGCCTTTTTTTTTTTTTTTTTATAAACGGCAATTCATTCATTAATAATCAATCATCATCCATACGTGAATTGGCATCAAGCCATAAAAAATTTTGAAGGAAAGATGGAAGATGATCCCACCATAGAGAAATATCAACAACATTCCAAGCATTCCTAGCCAATGCATGAGCTACAGAATTCCCCATACGATTAACATGTTGAATTTGGACTTCCTGAAATCTTGACAAGAGTTGCTTGACATCAGCAATAATGTTACCTGCATTAGCTAAAGGCTCTGATGAAGCTTGCAATTCTTGAACAAGCAAAAGACAATCACTTTCGATCACAAGCTTGCGAAAGCCAAGTGGTATACATAGCTGCAAGCCCCTTAGTATTGCAAGAGCTTCAATTGTAGCCACCTCATCAACGTCATCCTCCCTTTTTATTGCAGCCATTAACACTCCACCAGTAGCATCCCGTAGTACAACTCCCACACCAGCTTTCCGAATATCCTCAAAAATAGCTTCATCAACATTCATTTTAACAAAGCCATCCGGAGGTTTCTGCCACTGGTAAACAGTTTTAATACTTTTTGGTGATGCTAGCCAAATTTCATTATATGCTTTATACATTGAAATAGCATGCTCAACTGCTTGCTTGCATTGAACTAAAGTGCTCTCCATTTTCATTTTATTCCGCCATTACCACAAACACCAGCATAACATGAAAAACGAAGCCACCTCATTATCATTGCCAAGTCGCACTACTTTCCTCACAGTATCAATAAAATTTAAAGAGATGGGAAAGGTGTTAATCAAATGGAGGTATTGCTGCCACATATCCCTGATATCTGGACATTTTAGGAAGACATGATCCACATCCTCATCCGCACTTTGATAAAAACAGCACCCTGATTGAATATCAATGTTCTTCTTCTTAAGGTTATTAATAGTTGGAAGAATATTTTTGCAAGCCTTCCAAGCAAAAGACTTGATCTTTCTAGGCATCTTCATTTTCCAGATCCTCTTCCATAAGGGTGTAATTTATATCTTACAGTTTGTGAGCTCAATGAATTTTCAATGTGTCTTTAAAATATTTTTATTTTTTTAAAAATATACTGAAGTTCTATTTTCTTTCAAGATGGAATATTTTTATTTATATTGAAACAATAAATCAATCACTCAAGGATCGACGAACCCGATTTTTGTATTTTCCACGTGTTATAGTTTTTCAAAAATAGAGGCCGCATTATTTGTGTCCCTTGGGGGGGACGAAATAGATGATTTTTCACGTACCTTTCAATTTTTTGCAGTTTTTATCCTAACATTTGATTTGTTGCACTCGCATTATTAACTATTTTAATTATTTACATATAAATAATTAAATAAAAAAGACAAAAGGGAAAACTGAAAGCTTCTTCCCCACCTCCAAAACCAAATTAGAAAAGCCACACATCACCAATCGGCTGCCCACGCGGCGCCACCTACCAACTTGACGGTGCACTGCAATCTCCACCACCACTACCTCAAACCGCCAATAGTGATGGCAAAAAAATCCGCCTCATCCCGTCTTGTTGGGTTGGCGGCCAAGGATTGCCGCCCCATCTCCAGTCTCGGGGCGAGCCCTGTCCCATGAAGAATTAAAAAAATAATTAATTAACTGCAAATGTTTAATTTTGGACATTTTTTGTTTTGAGTGTTAGCTTTGGATATTGATATAGTTAGTTTGAGCATTATTTGATTTGAATTTTAAAATTTTGAATTTGTATTTTAACTGGAAATTTTTTTGGAAAAAAAAAGGGAACAGGAAACGGGGCAAGGCGGGTGCCATCTCTAACCGGCAACCACCAACTGCCTTTTCACCTAAAACCCACAGCCAAAACCAAAAACCTCACCCCCACCAAATCAAAACCCATGGCCACCACATGCTAGCACCAACACCAATAATCTGGTTCCTAGTATTTCTCAATCCACAAAGAAGGTGCGTATGGACGGACATGGATAATCGGCCTCGTGTACAGGTGCTGCATTCTTTTTGGCCTTTTCCTCGTGTCAGTTTGACTTCTGATTTTCGGAACAATTTGAGCTTCATTCATGAGGGTGTACCTAACGATGTTATTTATTTGTCCTATGATGATTGAAAAAGGGAAAGATAACGATGTTGTATATGAGATTTTGATGCTCAATGAGAAGATAATTTACAGTTGGTAGGGTGGGTGGTGACGATGGCCGACCGGTCGATGTTGGGTGGCTTTTTTGGTTTGGTTTTGTGGGGGCGGTGTTGGGAAAAAGCTTTCAGTTTTTTTCTTTTGTCTTTTATTATTTTAATTATTTTATATTGGAATATATAACGCTACTATTTTACCTTTATTGAAATAGTTAACAATGTAGTCAAAATAATTTTTTTGGTCAATTGACGGATCCTTCCGCCGCACGAAAATGAAATATTTGAAACTGTAAGCACAACAAATCAAAGGTTAAGATAAAAGCTACAAAAGTTTGAAAGTTTTGGGACATTGGCTATAATTGTCCGTATAGAAAATGCTTTATGTAACATTTTTTAGGAGCAATGGTCTTTTACGAAGATGGATAGTTTAAATCAAAATGTAAGTATAATCTACGTCCAATATATATAACATATAAAAAGTGTGAATATGTGAGAAATATTCATTTTCTCATTATACTTTTTTGTTTATGAGAAATGATAAAATTGTTATATCCTTTCAATTTCCAAATAAACAGTTATATGTTAATAATTCATCGTCTTTACGTTGTTGTCGATGAGCTTTTGATATATATTAAAGATGAGGTTCTTATAATTGTTATGTGTGTACTGATTCGGCTCGAATTAATTTCTTTGATATTACACTATGCTTTAATACTATTACAACACGCATTTTCTTTTAAAACTACGTCACCACCATAACCCCCATCCCATCACCACCACCATCAACAACTCATCTACAAAATTTTTCATATCAAATCTAAAAAATCAGAGACGTCGCCTTTGTATCCATGTAGTCGTCATTGTCTCCGCCGCCACCACTATCCACACCTCCTGTTTGAATAGATACCAAACTACAAAGGTAGATTGGAATGGTGACAATTGCAATAGAAGCTCATAAGGTAGAGGAAGCGAAGCATCACCAGCAATAACACAGTTGATGGCAACAACAAAGATAAACTTTGACAGTAGTATGAGCAACTCGTACAGGATCTGCAACTCCTAGTCCACTGAAAGGACCACGATCTTCAACATCTTGAAGAGAGACTAGGGAAGGGAGAAAGGAAACGAAATGAGAGAGGAGAAAGGAAAGGGAAGGGGTTAACTCTTAGGGAGGGAGGGAGGAAGCGAGAGGGTTTGCGAGTTTATATAAGGGTTCATTTTATGTGATACCTCTATATTAAAATTATTTTGTAATTGCCAGATGTTCTATATTAAAATTATTATGTGAATGAATTATAATTATCATCACATATAATCAACCACAATAGTTTCATTTTAGCTATTATTGAAACAACTCACAAGCATCTAAAATCAGACTGCATTCTCTCCACACACGACGTTTTCGACATTTACCAAGTTTTTTTGCTACTCAAATATTGCAAAAAGTGGATCAGTTTTAATAAAATTGACATTAACTCTTAATAACTCCGTTGAGTGTTGAGTCGTTGGTTACTTCTTGGAGTGTTTGCTGGATGATTTCTTCCTCGGAATACATTTTCCTTTCACTGAATTCTCTTTTTTCACTTCTTCCACTGCTGCTGCTCCTACTCCAAGTCCCACCTTTTTGCACCTGATCCATGGAAATGTTTCGAAGTTTTAAAGTAAATAACTTTTTTTTATTGATAAAAGTTTGAAATAAGTAACTTATTTCTAACTTTTCTTGATCAAGATGTAATTGAGAGTAGCAGTGGTTATTCACCTTTCTTCATTGAAGGAAGATGATTTCTTGAAATAAGGCTGACCCTCCACTCTTTCCTCTGTAATCATGGACTCGACAATGCTCCCACTGAAGTAATCTTTCTCCTCAGATTGCAAATTCCAGAAACGTGGGTTCTCCGACATACAGCCGATCATTTCATTGTCCTCCAATGCCACTTTCACAGCCTTGCACACCACTCCTTTATGCAGGTTGCCACCGCAAGTACTCTTCCTAGCCACCACATTTTCCGGTGGCTGTTTCGCAATGGGTGATGGAGCAGTTTTTCTGAATGAGGTTGAGCCCCCACATGCAATTAAATTGAATAGCATAGAATTTCTACTCAATAATGGCTCATTCGCAACTGGATCCCCGTCTTCAAACCTCTTTGAAGTTTCATTGTTTCCCTCATTACCCTTGTCCAAAAATTTACTTGATTGAATTTGTTGGGATGAAAATGAATTTCTACCAATCTTTAATTCAGTGGTAACAGTTTTTTGTGTTTCTTGTTGTAACTCATAAATTTCATCTGTAGATACTCCTCTAGAGCATTTAGACTGGGGTGTGTTCGAGTTTGTGTAGCTCATTTTCTCCTCGTAGTCTTCTTCTTCCTCGTCTTCTGCATTAATATCTTCTTCTTTGTTCACATGGTACTGGTTGTACACAACTTCCTCGGGCTCAGGGTATCGTTTTAGAGCAATAGATTTGCGTTTTGGCTGGAAGTTCAGGTCCTGAACCGGTTGAAATTGTTGAACATTTCCAAGTTGAAGGTGCTGCAGTTTCTCTAAGTACATGGATCCAAATTACAATTATCTAATTATGCATAGACATTTTTAAGTAAGTTAAAATTAGCTCATTACATTTAGGTACAACAGTGAAAAGTACTGACCAGTGCAACCCTCAATTAGTTCTGAACCTTTGAGTACATACTCAGCTCCTTCTGATGGATAAACGATGTCGTTCTCTGACAAGTCATTCCATACATAGCCATTCTTGTAGCTCCTAAAACACACTCAAGTAATTAATCAAGTGTTAAAACCACCTTAATTGTTATCATAACATCCAAATTACAAAGTGTTAAGAGAATTAAAAACCATAATTTTATTGCACAAAGAAATAAAGACACACAAGATCTATAAAACTTTGTCTCATAGTGAGAATACGCCATCTTCCATTCTTATAATAAAAAAGGCTTTAAGAGAAATCGCAATCATCTCTAACATCTCTCTTTTTTACGATGATAATAAAACCCCGTGTTATACAAAATGAACTCGACTAAACTAATAGAAGTGGACGGATCGAAGATAATAATGCATTCGAAGGGCGAAGCAGTAACATACCTTTTGCAAGACCAGGAATAGAGTGAAGGCATGCCGTTACCTCTGAGGCCAGTAAGCCGGTCCATAACATCTGATTAAAGTGTTGCACATAGTTTAATAGATCAAATGTTAGATTTTTCATTGGCTATGTTATGAGATGGGATGTTGGAATTTACAAAGAGAAGAGGGGAAAAAATGAAAAATTGTTACCTTTCAAGCGAAGGTGTTGATGGGCTAAATGGGTTACTTCAACGTAATGTGGGTGCTCCAGGTGCCCATTTCTTGATAGATAATAAACAACTTGAACTTTCTTGAATTTGGGTCGGATCATTCTTGGATGAACACACACTCTACCTCTTTCTGGGCTTAATTTTTTACAGTTCCTCACAGAAACCTCCATGGCTAAGATTCTCTCTCTTGTTTCTCTTTCTACAGCTCAAAGTGAAAACCCATTACCCCTTTCTTATGATATGTTTATATATATTAAGCGTGTGCGTGAGAGGTCAAGGTCACACGGACTTGATTTTAGAATTTTAATTTGGATAAATTTGCTAGTGAGGTGAGGAAAAGTAAAAGGCAGATCTTTTTGCAATAAAATTACTTCAAGCACTGTTCATTCCATCGCTATAGTCTTTAGGTCTGCAGAATCTTAGGACACGAAAAGATCTGCTCACCAATTAATGGGATTTTACTTTTGTATGTTTATGTCAACACTTTACTGTGCATATTTGGTCCCTTTCACAATTAAGGCCATGTCCTTCATTAATTTTTCACCTGCGAGGTCATGTCATATTCAAAACAATAATACAAAATTTACAACCGATTGCTTAATTCTTCAAAACGAACACGGCCAGACCTTTGGTAGTTTCATCAATAAATTATCATCGAAGCTTCAAACTAGGATGCATTCGATTGCTAACGGAGAATTTGTATGAAAAGAAAATAAATTGCTTTTGATTGCTAACAGAGAATTTGTATAGAAAGAAAATAAATTCTAGACCATTTAATTGTTTAGAACTTATTTGTATGAAAATTATTAATTATACGTGTTTTATTGATTTAGTTTTCCACTAAAAAAATATTATACTTATTCAATTTTTACTGGTGGGTAGATGAGAAAGAGAGAAAGTAAATTACCTGAAAAATAAAAATCATATTTCCTTAATTTTCCTTATTTTTGAGGAAAATATGATCACATGGCCAAAGTTGAAAAATATTTTCCATGAAAGTTTTATCAATCAAACACCCAAAAAGTAGGAATTTGAATGAAAAAATGACATTTTGTATAGAAAATAAAGTCAATCAAACACACTAAAGTTACAAGAAACAAAAAACTCAAAAAAAAAAAAATTACGAGAAAGATTTCTTATCAATATTAGAGCTTGTTTGGGAGAGATTTTTGGAGGAAGAATTGATTTTGAATAGTGATATGATGGGAAATGTGTGGTTGAAAAAAAAGAAAAAATTATTGATGTGATGGAAAATATTATTTTATTGAAGAATGTGTGGTTGAAAATGAGAATTGATTTACTGTAGAAAAATTTAATTCCTCCCAAACAGGGCCTAAGTAAGTAATAGTGATATGATGGGAAGTGTGTGGTTGAAAAAGAAAAAAAAATTATTGATGTGATGGAAAATATTATTTTATTGAAGAATGTGTGGTTGAAAATGAGAATTGATTTACTGTAGAAAAAATTAATTCCTCCCAAACAGGGCCTTAATATTCAAAGACTCGATTTCATTTGTTGTTAAAATATATCTCGAAGATGTTTTTTTTTTTTTTTTACGAGTCAATGACTGAGTCGTAGTATTGAGTTGTAGTATTACAAGGACAAAATCTAACTTTGTACTACTATTAATTTTGACATTGAATTTTGGTGAAATTTCATTTAACCTATGGACGTAGCCGTGTGGACTGGTAGCAATTGTAATGGGTGAGATTTTGGTTGGTCATAAAACTAATGATTCCCAATTATTCATATCTGTAAAAGTTTGCATATATATAATGATTCAAAAATTGTATTATTGCAAATCATTCAGGTTTAAATTAGCTCAACAACCAATACATACATTGACATTTAGATGAAGTAGCTCGATTTTTAATTATTGGTCTATAAAAGAATATGGTTGAAATTATGGTAAATTCACGAATGTCAAATGGGCCGAGCTGCTCGCAAGTTTGGTTCATCCGGACTTGACTCATAAACAACTCGAACTAATATTGAGATGAGTTATGTGTTGTGTCGAGTTGAGCCAAACTTAATTTTTTTTACGAACCCACAAGTCTGCCTATTTATTAATTTCTTCAAAATGTGTGGTCTCGTGGATATCTCGACTGTGGTCCATGAATCCTACGAGCCAAAGAACCAAGTCGAGCCTAATTTATGGACACAAGTTGAGCTTTGATATCTAAGGATCGAGTCAATATTGGTTCAACCCATTGCCAATCCTAGATAATTTAGTATTCAATACAATTTATTTGAAATTTTGAATTGCCAATCATGTTCAATACGAACTAATAGTTTTGATCCCACAATTTGACTTAGCCTTTTATTATTGTCCCTTTGCTAATGATACTCTTTGGATCCTTTCTATTGTTTTACCTTTGCTTTAAGCTTTAATTTACCTTTCTTAATTATTCATTATGACTTCTATTAGTGGTGCTTCTTTTCCCAATTGATAGTGACAGAATTACCTAGTGAGATTCTGGCATATCAGAAAAATGCACTTCTCTGTCTAAGCCCATTTGTTTTAAAAATCTCTCTCTCTCCCTCTCTCTCTCTCTTACATATTTATTTTTAATCACATATTAACCCAATAAAATAATTTACGTGTAAATTTTTTTTTAAAAAAAAATTCAAACAAAATTGCAACCGAATAAGGACAAAATATTTCAAGGAAACATGCATCAATGTGTCACTTAGGGACCATTTGATTGGTTTAAATTCCATGGAAAATATCATATATGAGAAATTCAATTTCTACTTTGGTTGTTTGATACGAAAATTGAAATTTAATTCGAATTCCAAGGTACAACCACTTTAAACTTGTTTTTTGCTAATTTCATGGAAAATGCATTCTTATAGGGTACTTGATTTTTGATTTTCCAACTTACATGGAATTGGAAAGTCTTTCAACCTTTACCAATCAAACATACCATTATTCTCACTTAAATAGTTATTAGTTGGAGGAATAGAAAGTATCTTATTACTTTTTTTCTCATTTTCTCCAAAGCTATATTGAGAAGTTGATACGATGAGGATAATTTAACTTATGATAAATGTAAGGACGGGAAGGGCACACTGATTGACCAAGGTATCAATCCGCTATTGGAAAAGCTTTCGATAGAGAGTATTGGGTGCGATTGCTCGTGCTTTCTCACAACAGTACGTGATTGACTATGACAAGACGTTTAGTGTAACAAAGATGGTGATTTTGACATGAAATCACCAACACTTGTTCGTAAGATTTCACCGGAAGTTATTATGTGAAAAGCATATATCTACATGGTTTCGAAAAAAATATTTTTTAGCATTTCACATTACATCTTTCATTTCAATTTATGTTATAAATGTTGAGAATTAGAGACACCTAGTTCTATATAATCAAGAGCAAAAATTGTAGAAAGAAACAGACAAACAAGAATACACAAGATTTATAAAAATTCTTGCATCAATGTGAAACTAAGTTATCTTCCGCCGTCACAGTAATTACCTATGATGAAAAAAATTTATAAGAGAAAACTCGCACTCTTTTTAACTCTAACTTCTCTCTCTCTTTTGATGATTATACAAAATTTTAATGACGACTCCATATTTATAAGACAAATTAGGATAGAATCAAAATTACTAGTGTGAATTTTGGTTTGGGGATGGGGCTTCTTGCCCCCTTCCAACCACCAAGATCAATCTGCATATTAGTTTTTTACAGCCATATTAATTAGGAGGGTGTTTGGTGGGGATTAAAATTTGATTTTTAGTAGATTGTGATGGAAGTTTTTGAAATATAAGGTTGAAAAGTTGTGGGACCCATAAAAGATGTGGTTAATATTGATTGTTTAACTTTGATTTAAATTAAAATCAAATTTTAATTCGAACCAAACATGGGCTAGACTCCACAACTTAACAATAAAACTATTTGATATCCGTTAAATCAAAATTCATTTATCTTTTAAACTCATTTCAATTACACATTTATACAATAAAATATTTTGCTCGTAAAATCAAAATTTATTCCTACTTTTTAACCACACATTCTTTAAAAAATCAATATTATAAACCCAATTTTTTTTTTTAACCACATATTTTTCAAAAATCACAATTTCAAAATTTATTTTTAATAGAGCTCAAACAGGGACAAGTAAAAATGTTAACTATTTTCCATTCTCCAAATAGCTAGTACATGTAGCCCTTGTTTGATCCCATTTTTTTAAATACATTTTTCTCTTTTTTTTTAACTACACATTTTCAATTAAATAATATTACATGCAACTCAAAAAATTTTCTTTCATTTTTAACCACATATTTTCTATCAATTTACTATTACAATACATTCTATACTAAAAATGGGGCTCAAACTGGCATTTACTCTTTCCGAGTTCTGATTCTAAAGCACGGGAATATATTCCTTCAATGTGACAAATAATTGAAGAATTAGCCATGTTTGCCTCCCATTAAAATTATAATCCGTTTTTCTTTATTTCCTTGTTAACCACATATTTTCCATAAAAAATAATATTTCAAAAATTATAATCTCAAATAATGAGGGTCAAATGGCTACTTGCATATTTTTTGTACATTAAGTTTGACTTTATCCCATGTATAAGAAATTTAGCCGACATTCGAATAAATATTGTTAAAATCAATGATTATTATATCTGTCACATCAGACAATGTCAGCCAAACTATCAAATTTTAATGTACATATAGCAAAATTGATTATTGAAATAGCTCAAGCTTTCCTCGTTCCTGTTCGTGATTATGTTTTCCTTTGATTTTTTATTTTGTAGTTTTTTTCACTGATTTTCAGTCACAAGTTTAAACTTTAGAAATAACTACACGTTTACATGATATGTAAATTAAATAAAAAGAACACTGGAGAATGAGACTATTACAAGTAGTCTTGAACAACGAAATCGTCAAATTACAAAATTAATCAATTTGAAATCGCCAATTTGGGTTCACGTGAATCTTTCAACGTTTTGATTTTGAATCAAATCAAATCGCTTTGAAGGGGTTTGGTTTATATTTCAATTTTTGTAAACCATTTCAAACGGTTTTGAAACAAATCTAAAAATAAATTAATTTAGATTTTATTCTAAACAATTATAACTAAATACATATATCCCAATGAAAAAGAAAGATCACTACTAGACCCAACTCAATTAAACTCAATACCAACTTAGACAATTACAGAATTACTTATTCTTAGGAGTGCAAACTCGAATTGGCTGAAATACTAAACCATATTCATTCATCGTCCATCACAATTTCATAAACAATTAAATCTAGATTTAAGTTTAAATTCACATCATTTTTTATCATGTTACTAACAATTTCTTCAATTTTGGCTCAATTTGCAAGTCAGTTTACCCAATTTCTATCAGCGATAGAAACATTTGATGGTTTAGATAAAGTTTAGAATATATTATCGTATTTGATTTTATTTATTTTATCATTTAATTATAATTGATGAATATATTCATTATTTTCTTATCTTTATGCAACGAATGAATCGCGTGTTACCATTGAAAATATTGCGCTAATTAATATTGACTAAGATGTTATAGTTAAATTGCTTTATTATGTTATTACATTGTTATAATTAGAAGGGTAGAATTTTAGTTTGTAATATTTTTATAATACTGATGTTTATATTTAAATGTGATATTTTAGACTAATATTTATGATTTAGCCTGTGTTTGATAAAAATTAAAATCTAGATTTTTATCAAAGTCGACAATTAATTTTAACAACTTATTTCATGGGATCCAAATTTTTCAGCCACGAATTTCATCAACTTTTAACAAAATTTGCCAAAAATATGATTTTAATCCTCACCAAATAGAGGGCTTAACTTGTTCGATATATTTTCATTGTTTCCTAAATCATGATTTTAATTTGGTCCAAACAAAAGAAAGTTGTGTTATTTGGTTTAGTTAGATTTAGAAAGTGAAGTAATTTGGTTTGACAAAATTTCAAACCATTTAAAGTGGGTTGATTTAAAAATTTGTCCTAAATCGTCCAAATCGAATTGTGTTCTTCTTTAACAATAAGCACATCTATGTGGCCAATTCATTTAGCATAGGAATTGGGAGGAAGCATAAACAAAACTCGTAAGGGTGTCAGCACAAGCATTTCTATCATGATGACATGTTTTGCTACTTGGACACTTCGGTATACATCCCTCCTCACAATAGGGGGAGCTCAAGATTTTTTTATTGGGTGTGGGCCCTCGTATTGTTAGGGGGGATGTACATGGAGGTGTGAACCTCGGTGTACAAATAGCAAAACCCTAAGATAATAGTCATTTGTAGAATTTGAATCCAGTTTGTCCAAAGCAATGAAAACATAGTCGAGCAAAATAACTTGACTAATCTTGAGAATATTAGGTTGACACATGTAAACAATTATATGGAATAGTTTCAAATAAGCATACTTGGGAAAAATTATAACGACGAGGAGTATCGAGTCTCACGCAATGTATAAATAACAAATGGGTAATAGTTGTGAATATATGATTAAAATTAATGTTTTGATTTTAACTTCAAATTATAAGGAAATTATAATGAAACTTTAACAAGCTTTAACTCGAGCATTTGAGTGGTTCTTTTTCTTCTTTTGATATTGTTTTGCTTTGGGAAGATACTAATCCTTTACCCGTAGATTTCGGTCATGAAGACAAAAATTCTTAACCAACTGGTATCAAGTTCATTTGTAACTCGTTCTCCGAATTTCTTCTCAAACAATGTTATGTAGAAATTTGAGAGTTCAAGAGTTAAAACGGCTTACATTCAAGAACTTGATTTATTAGGTCTTGTTTGGTACACATTATTTTTTTCATTCTCATTCTTCTACTCATATTCAATCACACATTCTTCAATAAAATAATATTTTTCATCACATCAGTAACTTTTCCTTCATTTTTAACCACACATTCTCCATCAATTTATTATTCAATAATACATTCTTTCAAAAGAATGTATCCCAAACACACTATAACTCGTACCTGATCTTGTTAACTGTTAAAGTGGGCCACTTATTTATCATTGATCAAAATTAGATAAAAACGAGTTTGAGGAATGACGTTTTGATTGGATAGAAAGCTTCGTCGGGACCTTAAATGTGTCTTGTTGACCTCGAAAAATGGCTCCGACACGTGGCCAACAGAACACGGTCTTCAAGTCAGCTCCTCCCTGCACATGTGGCACGTCGTCACTCGCTTAATCATTGATCAAAATTAGATAAAAACGAGTTTGAGGAATGACGTTTTGATTGGATAGAAAGCTTCGTCGGGACCTTAAATGTGTCTTGTTGACCTCGAAAAATGGCTCCGACACGTGGCCAACAGAACAAGGTCTTCAAGTCAGCTCCTCCCTGCACATGTGGCACGTCGTCAATCGCTTGTGGCCTTTCCCGGAGGGGTTGGTAGCGACCACAAGCACTCCAACGATCAAGTCAGTTTGAAGTTTCAACCAAAGGGGGTTCGCCCGCGGTTAGAATACTCGCCAGGAAGTGATTGAACGTGTAATGATAATAAAAAATGCCAACAATATGGGGGAGAAGATAATACTCAAGTTTAGTGTAGTAGTGTATTGGATTTCAATCCTTCTTCGGGCACAAGGAGTGAGTATTTATACCAAGGATGGGAAGAGGAGAGCCGTTGGATGAGGAGACACGTGTTGCTAGATCTCGAGAACTCGTCCCATCCTAAGTGTCATTTTGTCCACCCATAGGCTAGCCAGCATTGATTGTTTATGACAAGAGCAGCTGATTTGACCGTTTGAGTCATGACACGTGTCCCATCAGTCAATGACTTGACTTTGGAAGGATCTTTGTACAAGAGATCTTTGATGAGGCGATGCGAGGCAGGTGAGGCGTTGCAGCGTTCTAAAAGTGGAGTACGGGCCTTTGCATCCGCAATGTGTTGGCGGATGAGCCCGGTTCGTTCGCTAGCGTACGTAATCACTTTGGCATGCACAGCCAGCTCGTCCCATGAGGTAATCACCTCCGCCCAAGTGTCGGGTGTGTGGGCCATCTCCACTGACACGTGGTGTCGAGGTGGAGGGTCTGACACAGTCCCGTAACATGTCTGATTAATGGCTGCTAGATAGAGGACTTTTGGGCTGTCTCTTTATAAGGGCTTAGCCCTTATTTTACAAACATATTAGTGTGTGCACAACTTCTGGCCTTTTCTTTTAGTTTTTCTGTGGTAATTCTCTGTAGATCTTTAGTGGATATTATGATGGATACTTGAAAATCTGTTGTTGATATCGTGAATGGTAGTTGTAAATTTTGTGCAATCTTACTACATGTATATCAAGTTTGACATCAAGTTTGATATCACTGTGAGATGACAGTATTTTATACATTAATTTAGAAGAACGTGAACATTCGAACTCGTCAGTGGTTAAATGTTTTGGCGTTGATTTCTGCAAGTTTTACTTAATCCTAACTAAAGACGGGCTAAAAGAAACTATAAAAAAAGACAAAGGTAGCCAAAGAGATAATTAAAACTAAATCAGCATACAATAAAGAAAACCAAAAGATCTGAAAGAAACGACAAAGGCGATGGATGTCGTGCAAAAATTCCACGACTTTGAGCTTTATTCCCATCTTCAAACAACTCAGAAGAAGCAGGAAACTGTAAGAGCGAGATATTATTTACGCCACCATTAATCTTCAGTTTTCTGATATGCTAAATCCCAAATAGAGATTGCACCTTCTTCATGTAAAATCTGCTCCAAATCCACATTGCCATAGGTAGGATCCAAATGAAACTGTTCAATAATATTTTCTCCCCAGTAATTTCCATAATTTCCAATTGCACTAGAAATCGTCTCTCCAACAAATTCATTACTCTGCTCATCCAAATTAGCATTTCCCTTCTCCAACAACATATTAATCCAGTCATTTAGGCTAGCCTCCTGCCTTGTAATTACCCCTTCTTGATTCTCATCAACAATTTCTTGATTAATTACAGCAAATAAATCATCTTTACTGTAACTACACGTAGCCTCATGATCAGTCCTGGATTTCTTGTATTCCGAACCAAACTCCAATTCACTCTGTGGGCATTCTGAGTTTTGGCAAGCATATAGAGTAGCCGCTGGCTCCTCACTTTCGGACTCGAACTTCCTTTTTTGATTGCTCCCATCTAACAATTCTGCAATCTCTTTGTTTTCTTCTTCTTCTTTGGAGGGTGAGATTTTAAGTGCTTTCTCAGTAAGTTTCAAAAGGGCTTCTTCTTGATTAACAACTCTGGACCAAGTTGTAGTTTCCGTAACTGTCATCTTATGTTGTAAGGATTTGGACTGATTCACTAGCCTTCTCAATCTATCCATATTGGGATACATGTGCTTAATAATTGCCGCCAAAACACTCACTTTCCAAGCCTTTTTAAGGTCATGAGGCTTTTTATAAGGTGGTACACCTTGTTCTTGTGCTACCACCCCTTGATCCCCCCACCAAACTTCATTTCCTTTAGGCCACCAAGGGGGAGATAACCCTATTTCCAAAGGGAACCTCCTTTGTGGAGGGACACAGTATTGCATTAGGGCAGAAAGAATTGAACCTAAAGTAGTATCTCGCAATTCTTGAAGTAGATGCACGTAAGAAATTGGATCCAAATTGCCTTGCTTTACAATCTTTTGCAAGAATTCAGCAATGGCTACCGGAGCATGTTTATCAAACGACACTTTTTCTTTCCACCACTCCTTTAAACTATCCGATGAGCCAGTGACCGGCTTCCCCTTCTCCGGTATAATCCCATAAACAAAGCCTTGTGCATTACAAACCTCCATAATCTTCACCATGTACTTGAGAATTTCGTGCTGGGCTCTAGACATTATTTTCTTTCTTAACTGTTCTTGATTGGGCTTTGATTCTGGCTCCAATCTTTCTCTCTGCGCCATGATCTTTTCCAGACGTATCCGGTCCTTCCACATGCGTTTCTTGAGATCATTGTAGCTAATTTCTTCTTCTTCTTCCTCTTCATCATCTGACTGATCAATAGAACTACTAGGACTAGGGGGTTCAATTTCACCATGACACTTCACCATTCTTCTTAATAATGTGTGTGCAATATGTAATCTTTTGTGTATGTATCAACTTTTATGTGTATATATAGCAGAGAATATATATTGGAAAATATATAAAAGTACATAAGTGTTAAGATTTTGGATTTCATCTTACAATGTTAACCTTATTAAGAGGAGTAATCCAAATTCCTATAAATTGGTCTATGTTTTCATTTTTAATCGATGTGAGATTCTTTCCCTTAACATGCCTCGCAAGATGGTGGCTCGTTTGAGCAGATCAATCTTGAAATTTGTGTGCCCATTTTTTTGAATCTTAATCGGATCGAATTGCTCATTGAAAATTAATGGGCTCTGATACCATGTTAAAATCTTGAATTCTATCTTAAAATGTCAATCTTGTTAAAAGGAGTAGGCCTAACCTTTATAAATTGATTTATATTTTCTTCTTTATTCGACGTGGATTCATTCCCTTAAGAGGAAAATCCGTAATCCAGCTAGGGGACAGTGAACAATTTACGAGATGGAAAGATGATTTTGTATATACGTATATACGTGAGACCACAAAAGACAGGATGATCTGTGAGTACGTGGGCTTGTGTTGAATTTGAGGAATTAGTTGCAGGAGTTGACATCATGTTTCGCTATGTGTTAAATGACTTTAAAGGATTTTTTTTTTTATTCAAACGATTTATGAGCAGAATACTTATTAATAATTAGGTGGGAAAAAGAAATATACAATTTTAGAAGCTGAACATAAAGCTCGACCTTCATTTATGAAGAAAATAACAAAAAAACTATTGGTACAATCATTACAACACACTCACATTAGTGTGGGCTCCACCAATTAATTAATCTAAATCTAAATCAAACAATCAATATTAACCATATCTTTCATGAGTCCCACACATTTCAAAAACATCCTCATAAGTTGTAAACGCGTAGTAAGAGCATTTTCAAGATACTCTTTATTTTTAAAGTGTATTTTTTAAAATTTAGAGAGCGTCTATAAATTTAAAAAGTAAAATTTTTTAAGTACATTTAATTTTACTATTTAAAAAAAATATTTTTTATTTTTCCTTGTCTCTTTATTTTCACTAGTTTTCCTCCAAATTATTATATTATTTTTTCATTGAAAATTGAAATACTTTGAGTTTATTTAATTATAAAGAGTGAGTTTGACTCTCTAAAATATACTCTCCAGATTAAATTATTAATTTAAAGAATTTTTATTTCCTTGTCTCTTTATTTTCACTAGTTTTCCTCCAAATTATTATATTATGTTTTTCATTGAAAATTGAAATACTTTGAATACATTTAATTATAAAGAGTGAGTTTAGCTTTGTTGAACTGTGGTTGATTATAACCTTAAAGTTTTGATTATAACAAACAAGTTAATCTTATTTTCTAACAAGTTGAATTAAAGTAATTATAGTTTTTCAAGGTATATGATGGAAAATTGATCATTGGTCGTCAAAAGATAAAAAACTATTATCACAAATTGGACTCATTAAGGAGGTTAAGATCGAAATCACACATTCAAAAATTTAAGAGCCAAAGTTCAGAGTAAGATCAAAAACTTGATTTCTTAAATAAAGTGGAAAGGTACAACACTTTGATATTTGGTAATGAATGCTTAAACTCAAAATCTTTCTATGCATTAAAAACAATTTTGTGCATCGAAAGTCACTATAATGCAATAATTTGATCAAATATAAAAATGATGAAAAACATCTTTTATCTTGAAAAATTAGTTAAAAAATATTTTTCAAAAGTCCATGTCTTTCAAAACCTTCAAATTGAAACAAACGGGGTCAAAACGTAAAAGGACCAAACTGCCGGCAGTACACCGGTCGGAATAGGCGGTCGATCGGAAGTTTTTTCAACAGTCCAAAATTTGATCGTTTTGACATCTGATTTTTATGTATAAACGACTATATTAGTCATCCGGACAAGAGGTGGTGGACCGGATAGTCATCCAAGGTCTCAGATTTTTTGACGTTTTGAACTCTATAAAGACTTCTACTTCTTGCATTTATTAAAAAAATTTAAAGAGTATCAAAATGTATGTATTTCTTCTACTTCTTTATATTAAAAACTTTGATTGATTAAATCAAACTTGTAAAATCATCGTGTTCATCAAAATTTCTCATCTCTTTCTTATTATTTAATTTATTATAATCATTCATTAAAAGAGATATATATTTTGAGAAGATTTTTTTTTTACTTACGTTGAATTTATTATTCTTCATCTTCTCATTAAAAAATTTTAATTGGTTGAATCAAATTTCTAATTATCATATACATCAAAAGTTTTTCATTTAACACTTGAATTATCATTTATTACTATTAATTGAAGTGTTAGCCCATTTTAGTATTTAATTCATTTGTATCATTTATTAAAATCATTTATTCCAAATTTGTGGACCGTGTTGAGGTTCAGTGAAAGTTCAATAGTATAAAGATCGGAGCTCCTTATTGTAAATCACCGTGTAGGTTATATTGAGGTCCGTTAAACTCAATAGTATGGGTCATATTGAGGTCCCGTAAAGCTCAATATTGTATAAGGATCGATGCTCCTTATTTGTAAGTCAACAAAAGCGTTGTAAATGGTTGGATTGCACACTAAGTCAATCGATATAGTGAAAAGGTCTTGCTCGTGCTGGAGAGCTGGGTAACAGAGGACGTAGATCATTGTTTTGGATCAAACCTCCACAATTATATTGTTTGCAACATTTCTTTTCTTTTACTTATTGCTTTCATGTTTGCGCTTATTATTTGAATTAATATATTTACTCTTTATTTGGTTAAATTTAGATTAATTTTTTGAAAAAGTTTTAAAAATCAATTCATCTTTCTCTTAGTTAGTTATTCTTGGACTATCAAGCTCTCTTAATTTGGAAATTCAATGATTGACTTGTGGTGGCAAATGAGTTCGGGTTCGAGTGGTTCGTGGCTTGACTCGAAAAAAGTCCGAGCCAAGCCGAGCCCACTCCTGGCTCATTTGCAATAGCCAAAACTCGGATCAAGGCTCAAAAATGAGATTTGGCCCGAGCCAGCCCATGAGCCTCACTAACCAAAATACAACATTTATTGCTAGTATACACTAGTAAGAAAATTTGCCACTCGTCCATTTCCATCACCAAATTTAAAAATTTCTTAGAGTTGTTCAATTTTCAGAACGTCTTTTGGAGATGTTTTCAACTTTAGAAATTTTTTTTTTAAATACCTAATTCAAAATAATTTTTTTGCTTGAAGGATGGGAATGTGGAGAATTATGTATTCAAAATCAAGTGACAGTATAATAGTCGATGAGTAACAACATATCCAAGCATAGGATCTTAATATTGTAAGTTTTAGTTTCTTGATTTACTTCCATAATTTTTTTACTTCACTTTAAAATAAAATAAAATTATACGCGTAATATTTTATTCTTTTATAATTTTAACTCCATCTACATTCAATAGCCAATCCCAAGCTCGAAAAAGAAGGAAGGTTATTATTTGCTCTTTAAACTACTTGAGTAATTAATTTTTTAAATTTGTAAATTATTGACTAATTAGTTTGTAAATTTCAACAAGTTACATAATTTATTTTGTAGTTTGTAAATTAACAATCCATTTTTTCTATTGAGTAAAAAAAAAAAATTGTGACCTGACTCGACTCGAGCCAATGCCCTAGCCAAGCCCTGTTTTTGGGGACAAGCCAAGCTCGGTCTCAACTCAAGCCCAAAAAACTCGATACTTTTTTTACGAGCCACGAGCTTAGGCTCATGAATTGGCTCGGCTCGGTGCCGTAACTAGTTGACTCTTTAAAATTGAGAATATCTTATATTTAATGAGTCTCTTGTTTCTTTGAAGTATGTGTTAAGATGGTGGGGTTTTCATTAAAAACCAACTCTAGAGTTTTTGTCACCTAAGTTGGATGAAAAAACAAATAGTAGTACTGCATTACTTGAAAATTTTCAATTTCTTATATCCATCTTTTTTTTTTTGATATCCAGGTATCCTAACTTACACCAGACTATGTCATGGACCACCCGTCCCCGGTCCCTCAGTGATGGGTGGAGGTTAACCGCGGGATATGCCCAAGTTGACCAGGGTCTGTGCACCTTTTATACTCCTAACTCCAAAGGAGCCTTCCTCCATCTTTAGTATCATTTGGTATCAACTATCAAGTGCAGAATATATCAATGACTTTTTTCCAAATGGTCCAAATGGGTTAGCATAGAAACGGTCGTCCTAGAAAGATTGCATAATAGTTTACTGAATCGAGCTTTCTAGCACCAAACCGACAAAATAGGAACGGATTAATTTCAATAACAGTCACTAAAGGTTCTTAAATATTTCAAAATGATCATTTGTATTTTTCTTGCGTGGCACTGTTAATTGTCAACTTTTTGAAAAAAAATAATAATAATAAAGCTTAGAAGGTTATTTTAGAGAAGCCCAAATTTTAGATTTCTCTATGAAATTTCTAACTGGCTTTTATGGGAAGTTATATATTATATCCCTCTTATATTAAATGCGGGAATCCCTCCGTTTCCTGTTC